CACATACACATACACACACACAATACACACACACATACATCACACACTCACACACAAACACACATACGACACACATACAAAAACACACAAACACACACACACAGACACACAGACACACACACACACACACAACACACACACACACACACATACCACACCCCACACACACATACATACACACCCCACACACCACACATACACACACACACACACACACACACACTTTAACACACACACACACACACACACACACACACACACACACAAAACACACACACACACACAAACACACAACAACACCAATATTTTTATAACGAGTTTGTTGGTTAATACAGAAAACCCAAGACACTCAAAAACAACAATCACAAGGAAATGAATTCCGAAGAACACTCACAAAGAAATGAATTCCGAAGAACACTCACAAAAAAATTGAATTCCGAAGAACACTCACAAAGAAATGAATTCCGAAGAACACTCACAAAGAAATGAATTCCGAACCACTACAAAGAGAAGCGAAGGCAGCTATAGAGAAAGTGCACGAAAACGAATGTCTGGGAAAGAAAATTAACAAGAAAGAATGAGGAGAGAAATTACGAACAAACTGAAGCGAAAATGAATCAGAAAAATGTGAACGAGAAAGAATAAAAAACAAGGGAATGGGAACGAATTAGAACGACTCAGAAACAAGAGAAAACTGTCATTAGTAAGAGCCAAAACGAACGCAGAAGAAAATGAAAACTAAACTAAATGTAACAAATAGAGAAGAGAGAGAGAGAGAGAGAGAGAGGAGAGAGAGAGAGAGAGAAGAAGGGAGAGAGAAGAGAGAGAGAGAGAGAGAGAGAGAGAGAGAGAGATTGCGACTGCTTGACAGAGTAGAGAACAGAGCAAGACGTCTCATCTCTCGCCTGGACCCATCCTGGATAGATCTGTCATTTCAGCAGAGCCTTCAACATAGGAGGGATGTGGGTGGCCTTACTGTTATGTACAAGGCCAATATTGTCAAAATACCACACTTGGATCCACTTCGAGGACAGCGTGAAACAAGCTTTTATGCCACAAGACGGGCAGAAAGCAGCAACTTCACTCTGGCTGTACCCTTCTCCAGAACATCACTCCATCTGAGATCATATATACCCAGGATGACTCAAGTATGGAACACATTCGTACAGCATAATGATGTCAACGAGATAAAGTCAGTTGATCAAATGAAAATTGCTGGCCCACAGATGGCTCCAACTTCATCCTGTTCCCTACTTGTATGTCTCATAACAATAAAAATGCTTTCAAATGAGCTGATGTAGGTAACAGCTCTTAGCTTGCCAATAAAGTTAGGAATCCTTAACCTGTAAATAGCTTGTCAATAAAGCTAGGGATCCTTAACCTTGTCAAACCCTGTGGAAAAAAAAAAAAAAAAAGATAGATAGATAGATATAGATATATAGATAGATAGATAGATAGAGAGAGAGAGAGAGAGAGAGAGAGGAGGAGAGAGAGAGAGAGAGAGAGAGAGAGAGAGAGAGAGAGAGGAGAATAGAAAAAACGAAAAAGATTCAAAGGAAATTAAAGACAAGCAGAAACGAAATTGAACAGATGAAAAAAAAATAACGAAGAAAAACAAGAACTAATTAGAACAACGGGAGAACAATAACAATTCAAAGCTGACAAGGAAGAGAACGATAAAACAAGGAAAAAAATGTAATCTAACCACGACAGTGAGGAGAACGATGTGTAACAATAATGAGGAGAACGAGACCTAACTACAAAAATCAAGTGAACGAGCCCTAACTACAAAAATCAAGTGAACGAGACCTAACTAAAACGGTTAAGTGAACGAGACCTAACTACAAAAATCAAGTGAACGAGACCTAACTAAAACGGTTAAGTGAACGAGACCTAACTACAAAAATCAAGTGAACGAGACCTAATTACAACAGTCAAGTGAACGAGACCTAACTACAGCAATCAAGTGAACGAGACCTAACTACAACAATCAAGTGAACGAGACCTAACTACAACAGTCAAGTGAACGAGACCTAACTACAACAATCAAGTGAAACGAGACCTAACTACCACAATCAAGTGAACGAGCCCTAACTACAAAAATCATGTGAACGAGACCTAACTACAACAGTCAAGTGAACGAGACCTAACTGCAAGTCAAGTGAACGAGACCTAACTACAACAATGAAGTGAACGAGACCTAACTACAACAGTCAAGTGAACGACACCTAACTACAACAGTCAAGTGAACGAGACCTAACTACAACAATCAAGTGAATGAGACCTAACTACAACAATCAAGTGAAACGAGACCTAACTACAACAATGAAGTGAACGAGACCTAAATACAACAGTCAAGTGAACGAGACCTAACTACAACAATCAAGTGAACGACACCTAACTACAACAGTCAAGTGAACGAGACCTAACTACAACAGTCAAGTGAACGAGACCTAACTACAACAATCAAGTGAACGAGACCTAACTGCAACAGTCAAGTGAACGAGACCTAACTACAACAATCAAGTGAAGGAGACCTAACTACAAAGTGAAGGAGACCTAACTATAACAGTTAAGTGAACGAGCCCTAACTACAACAATCAAGTGAACGAGACCTAACTACAACAATCATGTGAACGAGACCTAACTACAACAGTCAAGTGAACGAGACCTAACTACAACAGTCAAGTGAACGAGACCTAACTACAACAGTCAAGTGAACGAGACCTAACTACAACAGTCAAGTGAACGAGACCTAACTACAACAGTCAAGTGAACGAGACCTAACTACAACAGTCAAGTGAAGAGGCCTAACTACAACAATCAAGTGAACGAGACCTAACTACAACAGTCAAGTGAACGAGACCTAACTACAACAGTCAAGTGAACGAGACCTAACTACAACAGTCAAGTGAACGAGACCTAACTACAGCAGTCAAGTGAACGAGACCTAACTACAACAATCAAGTGAACGAGACCTAACTACAACAGTCAAGTGAACGAGACCTAACTACAACAGTCAAGTGAACGAGACCTAACTACAACAGTCAAGTGAACGAGACCTAACTACAACAGTCAAGTGAACGAGACCTAACTACAACAGTCAAGTGAACGAGACCTAACTACAACAGTCAAGTGAACGAGACCTAACTGCAAGTCAAGTGAACGAGACCTAACTACAACAATGAAGTGAACGAGACCTAACTACAACAGTCAAGTGAACGAGATCTAACTACTACAGTCAAGTGAACGAGACCTAACTACAACAATCAAGTGAATGAGACCTAACTACAACAATCAAGAGAAACGAGACCTAACTACAACAATGAAGTGAACGAGACCTAACTACAACAGTCAAGTGAACGAGACCTAACTACAACGGTTAAGTGAACGAGACCTAACTACAAAAATCAAGTGAACGAGACCTAATTACAACAGTCAAGTGAACGAGACCTAACTACAGCAATCAAGTGAACGAGACCTAACTACAACAATCAAGTGAACGAGACCTAACTACAACAGTCAAGTGAACGAGACCTAACTACAACAGTCAAGTGAACGAGACCTAACTGCAAGTCAAGTGAACGAGACCTAACTACAACATGAAGTGAACGAGACTAACTACAACAGTCAAGTGAACGAGATATAACTACAACAGTCAAGTGAACGAGACCTAACTACAACAATCAAGTGAAGAGACCTAACTACAACAATCAAGTGAAAGAGACCTAACTACACAATGAAGGGAACGAGACCTAACTACAACAGTTTAAGTGAACGAGACCTAACTACAACAATCAAGTGAAACGAGACCTAACTACAACAGTCAAGTGAACGAGACCTAAATACAACAGTCAAGTGAACGAGACCTAACTACAACAATCAAGTGAACGAGACCTAACTAACAGACAAGTGAACGAGACCTAACTACAACAGTTAAGTGAACGAGACCTAACTACATCAGTCAAGTGAACGAGACATAACTACAACAATCAAGTGAACGAGACCTAACTGCAACAGTCAAGTGAACGAGACCTAACTACAACAATCAAGTGAAGGGACCTAACTACAACAGTGAAGAGGCCTAACTAAACAGTTAAGTGAACGAGCCCTAACTACAACAATCAAGTGAACGAGACCTAACTACAACAATCAAGTGAACGAGACCTAACTACAACAATCAAGTGAACGAGACCTAACTACAACAGTCAAGTGAACGAGACCTAACTACAGCAGTCAAGTGAACGAGACCTAACTACAACAATCAAGTGAACGAGACCTAACTACAACAGTCAAGTGAACGAGACCTAACTACAACAGTAAAGTGAACGAGACCTAACTACAACAGTCAAGTGAACGAGACCTAACTACAACAGTCAAGTGAACGAGACCTAACTACAACAGTCAAGTGAAAGAGGCCTAACTACAACAGTTAAGTGAACGAGATCTAACTACAACAATCAGGAGATCGAGAGCTAACTACATCAATCAAGTGAACGAGAGTTAACTACAACCGTCGGGAGAACGAAAGCTAACTACAACAATCAAGAGAACGGGAGCTAACTACAGTAATGAAGAGAACGGGAGATAACTATAGCAATCAGGAGAATGAGAGAGTTAACTCCAACAATAAGGAGAATGAGGGAGCTAACTACAACAGTCAGAAGAATGAGAGAGCTAACTACAACAATCAGAAGAATGAGAGAGCTAACTACAACAATCAGAAGAATGAGAGAGCTAACTACAACAATCAGAAGAATGAGAGAGCTAACTACAACAATCAGAAGAATGAGAGAGCTAACAATAACAATCAGTAGAACAAGGACTAAAACAATCAGAAGAAGAACTATCAGCATCAGGAAGTAGAGCGAGGTAGAGAGCGGGAACGAGGACACCAAGATAAACGAACGAGAGCAAGGACGAACCTGAATAATTGATAACCAAGAGGAAGAAGAGTACAGCGAGAGAAGAATGAAGAACTAACAAGAACGACCACACGACTACGCAAAAATGTTCCGTTGTTGCTTTTTCTTTACCTGAATGAAAATACAAGAGACGGAACCTGCATAACCAGATTACATTACCGTCGTAGTCTCTCCACAAACACAATTCCAGTGGTATATCCTCCTTGCCTTAAATACAGAATTATCATTAAGTATTTCGTGTGAATATTAAAAGAAAAATTCTCTCTCTCCTTTTGAGTTAATTCTTCGTCTACGTCGTCGTCTTCTTCTTCTTCTTCTTTATTTTCTTCTTCTTCTTCTTCTTTATTTTCTTCTTCTTCTTCTTCTTCTTCTTCTTATTATTATTATTATTATTATTATTATTATTATTTATAACGAGTTTATAGCTGTATTACTTATTTAATATTAAGCAAAGTCAGGCAAAGCTCAGTCTCTTGACATGATTTCCTGAATGTCTGTGTTGTCAGAACATGGAAAGAGAAAAGACGCAGTATAATGCGATCCTTAATTGTCGATGTTTCGCCCACAGAGTGGGCGAAACTCATGGGCTCGCCACTCAGTGCCGTCCTGGCGAACTTATACATGGAACATCTGGAAGCCGAGCGTTTCTCCACCATTATTCCTTCGACTGTCACCTGGCTCCGTTATGTTGACGACATTCTCCTCATAACTCCTAGGCGCTTCAACGTTCAAGCTCTTCAAGACAAGCTCAACCAGGTCGAGCCCTCAATCTAGTTCACACTTGAAGAAGAAGCCGACAACACTCTTCCTTTCCTTGGTGGTGTTCTCTGCAAAACTGAGCATGAACTTCGTTTTAAAGTCTATCGAAAACCAACCAACCAAAACGATCTTCTCCACTTCTACTCTCACCACGACACCAAAACTAAACGTGGTGTAATTATAGGCTTCTTCCTGCGCGCACTCAGAATCTGCAGCAATGAGTTCCTTGAGGAAGAATGCACTATAATTGAATAAGTATTTTCTAAACTCCACTAACCTCGTCACTTCATCAGAGACTGCAGACGGCGGGCATTAAACATCTTTAACACACCCAGAGAAGACACTGCCGAGAAGTGATACATAGTCCTCCCCACCAACTCCATTGCCAAACATATTTCCAACATCTTTTCCAATACATCATTCCAAGTATCTACCTCCACAACCACGACCATCAAGGACATCACCAGTAGTAGACAAGCTTCCATCCTCTGCAGGGGTATACATAAACCCTTGTAATGACTGCAACAAATTATACGTGGGCGAAACATCAAGAGACCTCCAAACACGTATTTCAGAACACCAATACGCAAGCAGGACTGACGATACAAGGAATGCCTGTGTACAACATCGCAATTCACACAACCATTTAATTAACTACAGAAACTCAAGACTATCGCCACAGAAGACAACACTCAATACCGAAGAATCCCGGAATCATCGCTTATCTCTATAACCAACAATTTCAACCGGAACAATGGCTTCTATAACATAGCTGAACCACTTGCCAAGAAACTTCTTCATCGCTATCCCACATAAGAACATAGAACACTGCAGAAAGTCAACTCACAACTTGTCCAATACCCCTGCCAAGCTACCCAAGACTTTATAACCCCACCCGGTAGATCATCAGATGCAGCATTCTCCACCTGACCTCAACATTCTGAACCTGACTATAAATACTCCCGTACCTTCCACCCCAGGTAGATCTGTTTGTGACTTGAAAAAGCTTACTGTGTGGGCGAAACGTTGTCAATAAAGGATCACATTAAACTGCATATGTGTTTATGTTTCTAAGTCGATGAAAGAATGACTGCACTGATGTTCATGAGAAATGTAAAGCCAGAGTAAACAACTGATGACTGCCCATCTTGTGACTTCACAACTGTTTTCTGGATGTACACGAAGTCGGACAATCGGATGGCCATTTGTCCTGTGTTCGTCAGAATCGGTTGAGGTGAGTGAGAGACGACGCCAGCTGGTGTGTAAGGCCAGGGAAGCAATCTTGAGCTGATAGTGCCCGGCCCCATTCCCATTCCCATGACTCGCAATTAAAGGAGATGGAGTCGGTTTTGCTGTCACCTCCAGCAGCTAACCAAGGAGATGTCTTTCTCAATCTGAGACTCTCATCTAAGCAATGAAAGTGCCACAGTAGATCAGCCTTTTCTTCATAGTTCTATCCTGTCCGTCTAGCCTGGGCTGGATTCCACCATTCCATCTCCAACATCTTAACTTTGCTGGATATGACAGTCCTATCCTCTCATTTATTGTAAATGGCATTGTACCCTTCAACAAATATTCCTGTTCTTCGGTGATACAATGTCAACAGAATTTAGAGTTCACCTTGCTGATAGTAGTTTTTATATGATTACCACAAGAGTCAACCTAACGTTGGATTTCCTATATTCATTGACAGACATGTCTCTAAATGCTCCTCTTGTGGGTACAGGGAAACATTTTGTAGATTCTTTACATAATGTATTTCATATCAGCAAAGTAGCGTTAACAAAATCAGGACTTCTAAAGTTCGATCACATTCTGCCGAGGACGGATGTGCTCGTGCTGGAGATCCAGGATGTGTTTAAGTGATTGTTCACATTGTCTTGAAACAAAGCGTCAGATTCAGTAATAGCAAACTGAGCTCTAACCTGGCGAGCTTCCTCTTCTTTCTTAATGCAGACTGTAACCATATTCTTATCTTTATTCTCTTTATTGTCTCAATATTATTATGGAAAATGGAAGGTAATGAGTTTGCTTCAAATATGGAGACATATATTTATACATAGATGGGGAGAAAGATGCATGCATAACATAGCTGATGTACTCACCTAGATGTGGTTGCAGGGGTCGATTCACAGTTCCTAGCCCCGCTTCTTCACTGACCACTACTCGGTCACTCCTCCCGCTCCATGAGATTTATCATATCTCTTCTTAAAAGTATATATGGATCCTTCCTCCACTGCATCACTACCCAGACTATTCAAATGTGACTGAAGAAATACTTCCTAACATCACTGTGGTTCATCTGAGTCTTTAACTTCCAACTGTGACCCCTTATTGCTGTGTCCCATCTCTGGAACATCCCGTCTCTCTCCACCTTGTCGATTCCTCTCAGTATTTTATATGTCGTTATCAAATCCCCTCTATCTATTCTGTCTTCCAGTGTCGTCAATTCGATTTCCCTTAACCTCTCCTCGTAGGACATACCGATTAGCTCCGGGACTAGTCTTGCTGCAAACCTGTGCACGTTCTCTAGTTTCCTCACATGCTTGGCTAGGTGAGGGTTCCAAACTGGCGCTGCATACTCCTGTACACAGTGTACAGGGTCCTAAATGACTCCTTATTAAGATGTCGGAATGCTGTTCTTAGGTTTGCTAGGTGCCCATATGCTGCAGTAGTTATTTGGTTGATGTGCGCCTCAGGAGATGTGCCCGGTGTTATACTCACCCCAAGATCCTTTTCCTTGAGTGAGGTTCGTAGGCTCTGGGCCCCTAGATTGTACTCCATCTGTGGTCTTCTTTGTCCTTCCCCAATCTTCATGACTTTGCACTTGGTGGGGTTGAACTCCAGGAGCCAGTTGCTGGACCAGGCCTGCAGCCTGTCCAGATCCCTCTGTAGTTCTGCCTGGTCCTCGTCTGATTGATTTTTTCTCATCTTCTTCACATCATCTGCAAACAGGGACACTTCGGAGTCTATTCCTTCCGTCATGTCGTTCACAAATATTAGAAACAGCACGGGTCCTAGGACTGATCCCCGTGGCACCCAGCTCGTTACAGGTGCCCACTCTGACACCTCGCCACGTACCATGACTCGCTGTTGTCTTCCTGACAGGTATTCACTGATCCATTGTAGTGCCTTCCATGTTATCCCTGCCTGGTCCTCCAGCTTTTGCACTAATCTCTTGCGTGGAACTGTGTCAAACGCCTCTCTCCTGTCTTATAGCAGTTACCCTGTCATAGAACTTCAGTAGGGTTGTGACACAGAATTTCCCATCTCTGAAACCGTGTTGGCTGTCGTTGATAAGCTCATTCCTTTCTAGGTGCTCCACCACTCTTTTCCTGAAAATTGTATCCCTGACCTTGCATACTACACACGTCAGTGACACTGGTCTGTAGTTTAATGCTTCGTATCTGTCTCCCTTTTTAAAAATTAGGACGACATTTGCTGTCTTCCATACTGTGTGTGTGTGTGTGTGTGTGTGTGTGTGTGTGTGTGTGTGTGTGTGTGTGTGTACACATAACATAGCTGGTGCACTTCACAGTTGGGGAGAACACCTGTGTGGACAGTGAGGGGTGCAAGGAGGGATGTCTTCCCCAATCTATATACCTGGAAGACAGGTATATAGGTTGGGGAAGAGATGTATACGCTAGAAAAAAAATATAAAAACTGGTGAAACAAACAACTATCGTCAACCTCTCTCGACCTTCCCTCCTTTCCTCTCTCATTCATTCTCTCTCTCTCTCTCTCTCTCTCTCTCTCTCTCCCTCCCCCTCCCCCTCCCCTCACCTACCTCTGGGGTGCCCCCACGCTGAACCACCTCACTACACAGGTCTTGGTCACTCACCTGCATGAGAGAAAGGTTAATTGTTATAAAAGTTATTTCCTCACAGTTTAAATAAAAATATATGACAAAAACACCTCTAACCAAAACAACGTAAAAAAACACTGTAAAATACAAATACCAATAATGAATGACAGAGCAAATTAATGACAAAAATTTTTTGCCTGAGGAACCTCGGTACAAAATGGCAAAAACTTCCTCGTATCTAAAAATGTATTTAAGATCAAAAAAGACAAAACCCCGAGATGTTGGAAAAACATCTAATGAAAAGTACATGAAAAAAAACACTAATAAGAAACACAAAACTCTGTTTCTAAGAATATATATATATATATATATATTATATATATATATATATATATATATATATATATATATATATATATATATATATATATATATATATATACAATAAGTCCACAGTAAACAAGTAAACAGGTGTTATCAGAATATGCAAACAATCACTGTGAAAGAATAGTAAAATTCCAAGCGCGTTCGTGACTTCTCACATTCTCATTATAGTTCCTTGATAATGTCAGAAGTCACGAAAGCGCTTGGAATTTCACTATTCTTTCACAGTGGTTGTTTTGCATATATATATATATATATATATATATATATATATATATATATATATATATATATATATATATATATATATATATATATATATATATATATATAAATGAGTAGACTTCAAGATCTACATGTTTATAGACGGGCCACAGATACACCAGATCACTTTTTAGTTGTAGCTACAGTGAGAGTAAAAGGTAGATGGGATACAAGGAAAATGGAAGCAGCAAGTAAGTGAGAGGTGAAGGTTTATAAACTAAAGGAGGAGGTAGTTAGAATAAGATGTAAACAAATGTTGGAGGACAGACGGACTAGTGAGAGTATAGGCAATGGGGTAGAAGATGTATGGGGTGTTAGAGTGTTCAGCAGAAGTTTGTGGTTACTGGAAAGTGGGTGCGGGAGGGAAGAAGAGCGATTGGTGAAATGATGTTAAGAGAGTAGTAAGAGAAAAAAGTTAGCATATGAGAGGCTTTTACAAAGTAGAAGTGATGCAAGGAGGGAGGAGTATATGGAGAGAAAAAGAGAGGTTAAGGGAGTAGTGAAGCAATGTAAAAAGAGAGCAAATGAAGGAGTGGGTGAGATGTTATCAACAAATTTTGTTGAAAATAATAAAAAGTTTTGGAGTGAGATTAATAAGTTGAGGAAGCCTAGAGAACAAATGGATTTGTCAGTTAAAAATAGGAGAGGAGAGTTATTAAATGGAGAGTTAGAGGCATCAGGAAGATTGGGGGAATATTTTGAGGAATTGTTAAATGTTGATAAAGATAGGGAAGCTGTGATTTCGTGTAAAGGGCAAGGAGGAATAACATCTTGTAGGAGTGAGGAAGAACCAGTTGTGAGTGTGGAGGAAGTGCATGGGGCAGTGGGTAGATTGCTAGGATTGATGGGATAAAGATATAAATGTTAAAAGTATGTGGGGATATAGTTTTGGAGTGGTTAGTGTTTTTATTTAATAAATGTATGCAAGAGGGTAAGGTACCTAGAGATTGGCAGAGAGCATGCATAGTTCCTTTGTATAAAGGCAAAGGGGACAAAAGAGAGTGTAAAAATGATAGGGGAATAAGTCTGTTGAGTATACATGGTAAAGTGTATGATTGAGTTATTATTGACAGAATTAAGAGTAAGACGGAGAACAGGATAGCAAATGAACAAGGAGGCTTTAGGAAGGGTAGTGGGGTGTAGACCAAGTGTTTACAGTGAAACATATAGGTGAACAGTATTTAGATAACAGTAAAAAGGTTTTTGTGGCAGTTATAGATTTGGAAAAGGCGTATGATAGGGTGGATAGGGGAGCAATGTGGCAGATGTTGCAAATGTATGGAACAGGGGGTAAGTTATGGAAAGCAGTGAAGAGTCTTTACGAGGATAGTGAGGTTCAGGTTAGTGTTTGTAGATGACAGTGATGTGTGATGTCACCATGGTTATTCAATATATTTATAGATGGAGTTGTAAGAGAAGTGAATGCTCGGGTGCTCGCAAAAGGTGTGGGGTTGAAAAATAAAGAATCTAACACAAAGTGGGCGTTGTCACAGTTGCTTTTTGCTGATGACATTGTGCTTTTGGGAGATTCTGAAGAGAAGTTGCAGAGGTTGCTTGATGAGTTTGGTAGGGTAAGTAAAAGAAGGAAATTAAAAGTGAATATAGGAAAAGGTGATGAGGCTAACAAACAATTAGGTAATGGAAGATTGGATATCAGATTGGAGGATATCAGGAGGAGGTGAATGCATTCAGATATTTGGAAGTGGACGTGTCAGCAGATGGGTCTATGAAAGATAAGGTGAATCATAGAATTAAGAAGGGAAAAAAGGTGAGTGGTGCACCGAGGAGTCTATGGAACCAGAGAACTTTACCCATGAAAGCAAAGAGGGGAATATATGAGAGTATAGTTATACCAAAGCTCTTGTACAGGTGTGAGATATGGGTGGTGAATGTTGCAACAAGGAGAAGGCTGGAGGCAATGGAGATGTTATGTCTGAGGGCAATGTGTGTGTGGTGTGAATATAATGAAGAAATCCGTAATTTGGAGATTAGGAGGAGGTGTGGGTTACTGAGATGGTTTGGACATGTAGAGAGGGTGGAACGAAATAGAACGACTTCGAGAACGTACAAATCTGTAGTGGAGGAATGCGAGGTAGAGGTCGGAGGTTGGAGGGAGAGGGTATAGGAGGTTTTGTGTGCGAGAGGCTTGGACTTCCAGCAAGCGTGCGTCAGCGTGTTAGATAGGAGCAAATGGAGACAAATGGTTTTTAGGACTTGACGTGCTGTTGGAGTGAAAACAAGGTAACATTTATGAAGGGATTAAGAAAAACCGGCAGGCCGGACTTGAGTCCTGGAGATGGGAAGTACAGTGCCGGCACTTTGAAGGAGGGGTGTTAATGTTGCAGTTTTATAACTGTAGTGTATAGCAAGAACTCATTTAAAATTAAGCCCTTTCTAAAATTTTCTCTTGTACCTTCAAAGATGTATTTTTTCATTTATGTTAATGTAAAAACTTACAAAACTTACCTAACCCTATTATAACAATCGCAATTTAATTTAGCCTAATCCAACTAAATATTTTCTAGATAAGTTTACAAAAATTTAATAATAAACAAACACAATGAAATATATTTTTTCGTTAGGTTCATAATGATTTTTGCGAAATTATTGCATACACAAATTTTTGCTTACCTTATTAGGCAAGAAGAGCGTTGTTATTTAAGCCAAAATTGCAAGTTTTACCTATTCAGCACGACATATTATATATATATATATATATATATATATATATATATATATATATATATATATATATATATATATATATATATGCAAAACAACCACTGTGAAAGAGTAGTGAAATTCCAATCGTTTTCGTGACTACTCACATTGTCATAGTTCCTTGACAATGTGAGTAGTCACGAAAGCGCTTGGAATTTCTCTATTCTTTCAGAGTGGTTGTTTTGCATATTCTGAAATCACCTGTTTACTGTGATCTTATTGCATATATATATATATATATATATATATATATATATATATATATATATATATATATATATATATATATATATATATATTAGGGCAATAAATGCATTCCCAAGGGATGACAACCTCGTCCGTCTCCCCCCTAGGGCGACAAACACCCGCCGGGCAAATGCCAACAACAAGACACCCGACACCTCAAAAATCAGAGCCCAAATTAGCAAAAAAATAGAAGAGGGTAATACTATTGGAGCTTTGAGACTTATAACCAGTGAGGATACCATCGCTCCCAAGGACGTCAGCACGGCGCAAGCTCTGAAGGACAAACATCCACCCAGGGCTCCCAGTACCAACATTGACCTCCCTGACATTGCAGCAGGCGAAGAACATCTAACCTTACAGGATGCTGATGTATATAAAGCTGCTATGTCATTTCCAAAGGGTTCAGCAGGAGGTTTCACCGGTTTAAGGCCTCAACACTTAAAACAAATACTCAGTCCAGCACTTGCTGAGGTTTCAGAGAGGCTGCTGTCTGAACTCACCAAATTTTCCAACCTGTGCCTGGCTGGCGGTGTCCCAGAGGCCATCAGACCCTTTTTCTTTGGTGCCTCATTGTGTGCCCTACGGAAAAAGGATGGCGGAATCAGGCCCATTGCAGTGGGTAACACCCTTCGGTGCCTAGTCGCCAAGGCTGCAGTAAGAAGGGTGAGTCAAGAGGCTGCTGCAATGCTGAAACCAACTCAGCTCGGTTTCGGCGTTCAACAGGGCTGTGAAGCAGCTGCCCACGCAGCACGAGTATATATCAAAAACATGTCCTATGAAAAAGCTTTGGTCAAATTGGACTTTGCCAATGCTTTCAACTCAGTCAGAAGGGATGTTGCTCTCCAAGCAGTTTATAGAAACTTCCCTTCCCTTTATCCCTTCATAGAATCGTGTTATAGTGTGACTTCCAAACTATTGTTTGGGGACCATGAAATTGACTCGTGTGAGGGCGTGCAACAGGGGGATCCTCTCGCCCCCTTTCTATTTTGTTTGGTCATCAAGGAAGTCACGGAGGCACTCTCCAGCGAGCTCAATATCTGGTTCCTGGACGACGGTACCCTAGCTGGCACAACAGAATCTCTCCTGGAGGACATCAGTAAAATTAAAGACATGGGAGAAAGCCTGGGCCTTTCTTTAAACCCCACCAAATGTGAAATAGTTTCTACCAATCAACAATGATCCAGAATATTATTGCCATTTTACCAGGAGCACGAGCCATTGATCCAGCCAATAGCACTCTCCTCGGTGCTCCTCTTGGGTCCAATGCCATCGATTTGATCCTAGGAAAAAAAGTCTCAGACCTCCGGACGATGGAAAGCAGGATGAAAGACACTGACACACACGATGCCTTCTACCTACTCACCAGGTGCCTGTCAATCCCAAAACTTACCTATTTTCTGAGATGCTCCCCAGCCTTCAGC